GGGCCGTTAGTCTTACAGAACATCTTGGAGGAAATGCCCAGCCTGTAGAAAAAGTGTGTTAATCTCTCCTTTTTTTGCAGCCATTCACTGGTGGAAGGGTCAGCTTCTCTCCCTGTGAGCTGAACAGGGAGGCAGTCAGTCAGTCAGGCAGAGGGGCAGGGTTCTCTGAGGCAGAACTCTATCTGTGATTATAAAAACTGAAGCAACAAAAAGCAAGTCAAAGAAACAGCTCCGTCGTGGAATCAGAATTGGCTCTTCCTTCTAATAGGCCTCTGTTGCCTCCAGGTGGGTCCCTGACCCCTGTCCCCTCCCCACTCCAGCACAGCCATTATTACCCATCTACTTTATCATTCCTGGGCAGATGGCTCTGAGAACCCCAGGAATCAGGAGGCGGGGAGCACAGGCTATGGTTGTGCTGGGGTGGAAGTGGGGGATGATATAATCCAAGCTGAGTCCACTCACTTAGACGTGCCCGTGGACCAGCCCGTGCACTGCCAGGCCAAGTCCCGGACCAGGGATCCCTCACACCAGAGAAAAAAGGCTCCAAGTCTCTGTCCTCCAGCCCACTGAAGCCAATAAAGACCATCACTAGTCCCACCTTCATCTGGATCTCACCCTCCAAGAATCCAGCAAGAATGATACGGGCAACTCTGCTGATCAGCCTCAGCTACCTCAGCCTCTACACCCTCGGCAGTGGTGTCCGCTATTATGACCCCGGGCAGGTAACTGGGGAGAGCCTTCTGCTGCAGCAAAGGGAATATTTGGTGGGGTGGGACCCGGGGCCTGACTCCTCAAATATCCCTCACAGGGATGCTTCTCTAGGATGTCATCCTCTAAACTCTCTTCCTCTCAGGAACCTCCACACCCACAGGGAGCCCCAAGTTCCCATTCCATCTCCCAGAACCCCACCTCCACCCACAGGTCCTACTGTGACCCTCAATCCTTTATACCCTCCTCCCGTATGCAGCCTCCAGCTTCCTCCTCTCACTTACCATCTCCCACCCAGGACCCAGCCTACACACTCTCCTTCGGGTTACCCATGTACGACCCTCCTGCAGCCCCTCCCAGACCAGGGCTTGACCTCCTCCCCACTCCCACCCAGGTTGGAGGATGCAGACTTCTAGAGCAGGAGAGGACTGAGTCTCAGAGCTGACAGGGACCTGGTGTGGTATCTACACACCTGTGTGGGAGAGGGAAAGAGTCTGAGGCTGGGCATGGGGTCAGGTCATTGGAGATTGATTGCATATTTGTATGTCACCTGCACACAGAGTCTTAAAGCCGGAATGGTGCTTGGAAGTCACCCAGCGCCACATTCCACCAAGTGCAGGAACCTCTTTAATGATAGATGACCCCTCTTAGTTAGTTAGGATCTATATGTGGTCCTGACAATAACCCTGTGAAGCTGGAAGTATACTGAGTTTATAAGTAGAGGACTTGAAGCCCAGAAAAGTTAAGAGACTTGCCCAAGATCTTACAGGCAGTAGGTGTGAATTCAGGATTTGAACCAATGTCTCTCTGACTTCACTGCCTGTTATTTAAACCCTTGAGCTCTTGCCAAATATAAGACTCCAGATATTTGAGCATAGAAATGAGATTCTGGGTTTCTGAAATAATCTGTGTCCAGGACCTTAGTCCAGTACCCTGAACTTATACATTTTCTGTGTGGCTCCTTTCTTCCTTTTCTCCATATGCCCAGGGTATTACCATCCAGTACCTGAGCCTGGCTCCAGATACATTTGATGATGCCTATGTGGGCTGCTCGGAGGAGATGGAGGAGAAAGCAGTGCTTCTGTTAGAGAAGGAGATGGCCAACCATACTCGGTTGCGGGAGTCCTGGGAGACAGCCCAGAAGGCCTGGGAGCAAAAACGTCCAGGGCTCATTCTGCCTCCTGGCTTCAGAAGCCAGCACGGAATCGCCATCATGGTCTACACCAACTCATCCAACACTTTGTACCGGGAGCTGAACCAGGCTGTGCGGACTGGTGGTGGCTCCTGGGAGTCCTACATGAACCACTTCCCTTTCAAGGCGCTGCATTTCTACCTGACCCGGGCCCTGCAGCTGCTGCGGGGCAGTGGGGGCTGCAGCAGGGAACCAGGGCAGGCAGTGTTCCGAGGCGTGCGCACCATTCACTTTGAACCCAAGAATGTGGGGGACTCTATCCGCTTGGGCAAGTTTACCTCCAGCTCCCTGGATGAGGCAGTGGCCCACAGATTTGGTAATGCCACCTTCTTCTCTCTAAGGACTTGCTCTGGGGCCCCAATCCAGGCCCTGTCTGTCTTTCCTAAAGAGCGTGAGGTGCTGATCCCCCCCCATGAAGTCTTCGAGGTGACGAGTTTCTCTAAGGAAGGAAACAAAAGCCTGGTGACTCTCTCCAGCAGTGATCAGATGTGCAGCCACTTTAACTGCGCCTATCTGGGTGGTGAGTCATGCATGAGGGAAGCAGGACTGCCAGGAGGTCCCCAGTTGATTTCAGTCCCCAGGGCCTTCAAGAGACCCACGTCATTAATGAGGAAGTTGAGGGCCAGAAGCTAGTTGGAGATATTTTTCTCTGTGACTCAGGTTCTGCCAGCTCAGTGGCAGTCAGATAAGTGTTTTCTGCATGTGTGAATGTTCTTAGATGATTCTCCAAATGTTCCCAGAAGTTTTCTTCTGCTACACAGTCTAATAGACCAAAAGAATCTGGTTAAGGAGGGCAATAAGCAGAGGAAAGTGACAGGAGTGCAGCTTCAGATCTCAGGAGGCCGCGGGCATAGTGGGTTGATGGGACACAAATGTGCTATTCCCCAGTGCTGAGACAGGACAGAGTGACTGGGCCAAGATGGGGCAGGGATGGAAAGGCGAAAAGGGAAGATTTACTGGAAGAAGGAGGAGGAAAGGAAGTCAGAAGTATATTTGGGAGAAGGGGAAGAGGGATTGAATTGGGAATAGTTGTACCAGGGCCTGGTGGGAAGGGAAGTTTGTGGTGTGAGGGTCAGTCTAACTGGAAGCCTCACTTTGCTGTCTGTTGCAGAGAAGAAGAGGCTGAGCTGTGAGTCTGTGCCAAGTGAGTCACCCTCGGGTCCCTCCCTCGACTGTTTGACTCCCCACTGGCCCTGCTGACCACTCACTGTCTTTTCTTCTCTCTCCAGTAGGAGGGCAGGGAGACTCACTCTCCAAGGGGGCCTTCACTCTGCTCTCCTGGAAGACCCTGCTCTTGGCCTCTTGGGGGTTCCAGCTCTTAGGAGCTGGGCAGTGAACATTCAATGCCTGCCACTTAGGAATCCTGGGAACATGTGACCTCCAGATGAAGAAGGGGGGCTTCAAAGAGCTTGGAGAAGCAACAAGATGGTTTCAGACCCAGACCTAGCAGCCATGTCTCCAACCAGGATGTCCGGGGATCTGAGGCCATGGTAGGGTGGAGGGAGCCCTGCTATATGGTGGGGACTCCCGGGGACAAGCAAGGATAATGCTGTGATGGCTACTCCATTAAACAGTGCTGCAGTATGGTGACATCAAATTTCATGACTGCTTTGTTTCATGAGACTGGACTATCTGCCCTGCTTTGGTCTTATGGGACTCAGGGACTCAGGGACTCAAATGAATGACTTCTTGATCACTTTTAGACATGGTCCAGGTGCAGACCCTTTTCACACCCCATAGCCTGCAACCCCAGATACCTTAATAGACAGAGAGGTTCCTCACAACAGCCCAGAAGGCAGCAAGGGGGACAGTTCCATCAAAAGTCTGAAGGAGCTTAAAGTAGGATCCTAAGCCCAAGACATTGGGTCCCTAGAGCAAGCCATTTCTCTGTGTTCTCTCCCATCAGGGTTCATTTTGACATTGGCGATCTCAAAACATCATGAGACAGAGATTCTAACACACTCTGGAGACATCTGAGTTCCAGAGCAGAGACGTTTTTGAGGCCAGAAAAGCAGCAGTGGCTCCCATGAAGTGACCCCCGCCCTCAGCTACCTAGGCTGCTCCAGTCACAACAGAAGAAGGGACCTCCCCCAGCATCAGGTCCCCTCCTCGGCCCCCAGGTCTGCCTCCTGGGGCAGGTCCCCGGCCCCCTCTGATTCTTGCTCCCTGTGCACTAACACGTGAGCTGGGGAGGAGGGGGCAGACTCCCCAGAAGCTGGAGCCTGAGCCCCTCTGGCATCCGGAAGCCCTGTTTCCTAAGACCCCTGGGTCCCCACCATCGCTGGCACTGTCAGCTCCGGGGTCTCAGGGATGGGGGGGCCCCAGGTTCTGGAAGCTGTTGTGCATTCGGGTGATGTAGTGGCTGAGGATGCTGGCTCATTCGGCGGCTGGCTTGGCCCTGCCTCCACCACAGCCTGCTGCACACCAGCTACCTCACTTTGTAGTCGAGACACCATAATGGTGAGCTCTGTCAGTCTGTTGCCCAGGTCTGGGGGGTGGGAGTAGAGATGGGGGTGGGGTCTCTCAGAAGGTGAGTCTGCCCTGGACCATTTCTACCCTCAACACAACCCCAGGGGAGGGTATGCCGGGAGATCCTGAGGCAGAACTGGAGGAAGTGAGGGACTGGCACTGGGTTGTAGGCCAAGTGAGCAGGCCCGGTCATGAGTGGATGAATTAGCAGGGCTGGAGTGGTGGTGTGGTTCAGAGATACCAAGAAGGAATGTCTTAGGGACCAGAGACGGGGTCATGAGTCATAGAGACGTAAATTTCTAGTGGATCCAGAGGGTCCTCCACTCTCCCTGCATGCCTGCTTCCAACTGAAAGTGAAGTCACTCAGTCGTGTCCAACTCTTTGTGATGCCACGGACTGTAGCCTGGCAGGCTCCTCAATCCATGGGATTCTCCAGGCAAGAATAATGGAGTGGGTTGCCATTTCCTTCTCCAGGGGATCTTCCCCACCCAGGGATCAAACCCGGGTCTCCCACACTGCAGGCAGACTCTTTGCCATCTGAGCCACTACGGACCGGGACCTTAAGATGGTTTCACTTAGAGACCTCCAGGTTGTGAGGACAGAAGGGGCTGGATAAGGGAGAGTCCAGAGGGTAGTGCTTCCCCACGAAAGCTCCCTACACCCTGGTGGTAGGCATGCTGAGGGCCTGAAGTGGCTCCAAAAAGGCATCCCAGGTTTGGGTCAAGATTGGAACAGACAGTTTCCAATTTGGTGCTTTCATTTCATTTTATTGCCAAGAAATGTGTGCTTATTGTGTATGAATGAATCACAGAGCCCAAATCCCCCTTTGCTTCCTCTTCCTCCATGTCCCTCTTCTCACTTTCACCCCTGGCTGCTGCTCTTGTGCTAATGGTACCATTTAAGACCTTTTTTGATGCACTACTAGTAATATACTATTAAATATACATGTACACAGTTGTCTGTACACCCTATTTTTGTTTTATATTCTTTTACTTTCTTAAATAAATTTTTATTAACTAATTCATTCATTCATTTGGTTACACCAGATCTTAGTTGTGATAGGCAGCATCTTTTGGGGTTTTTTTAATTAATTTATTCTTTATTGAAAACAATTGCTTTACAGAATTTTGTTGTTTTCTGTCTATCCTCAACATGAATCAGTCATAGGTGTACATAGATCCTCCCCCTTTTGAACCTCCCCCCATCTCTCCCGCCATCCCACCGCTCTAGGTTGATACTGAACCCCTGTTTGCGTTTCCTGAGTCATACAGCAAATTCCCATTGGGTGTCTATTTTCCTTACAGAAATGTAAGTTTCCATGTTACTCCTTCTAGACATCTCACCCTCTCCTCCCCTCTCCCCATGTCTATAAGTCTATTTTCTATGTCTGTTTCTCCACTGCTGCCCTGTAAATAAATTCTTCGGTACCATTTTTCTAGATTCCATATATATGCATTAGAATATGATATTTATCTTTCTCTTTCTGACTTATTTTGCTCTAATAGGTTCTAGGTTCATCCACCTCATCAGAACTGACTCAAATATGTTCCTATTTATAGCTGAGAAATATTCCATTGTGTATATGTACCACGACTTCTTTATCCGTTCATCTGTCAATGGACATCTGGTTGCTTCCATGTTCTAGCTATTGTAAATAGTGCTGCAATGAACATTGGGGTACATGTGTCTTTTTCAATTTTGCTTTCCTCAGAATATATGCCTAGGAGTGGGATTGCTGAGTCACATGGTGGATTTATCCCTCGTTTTTCAAGGAACCTCCATACCGTCTTCCATAGTGGCTGTATCAATTGACATTACCAATAACAGTGCAAGAGCGTCCCCTTTTCTCCACAGCCTCTCCAGCATTTATTGTTTGTAGACTTTTTGATGTTTGCCTTTCTGACTGGTGTGCAGTGATATCTCATTGTGGCTTTGATTTGCATTTCTCTAATAATGAGTGATGCTGAGCATCTTTTCGTGTATTTGTTAGCCATCTGTATATCTTCTTTGAAGAAATGTCTGTTTAGGTCTTTTTCCCACTTTTTGACTGGGTTGTTTGTTTTTCTGGTACTGAGTTGTATGAGCTGATTGTATATTTTGGAAATTAATCCTTTGTCAGTTGTTTCATTTGCTATTATTTTCTCCCACTCTGAGAGTCGTCTTTTCACCTTGCTTATAGTTTCCTTTGCTGTGCAAAAGCTTTTAAGTTTAATCAGGTCCCACTTGTTTACTTCTGTTTTTATTTCCATTACTGTAGGAGGTGGGTCATAGAGGATCTTGCTTTGATTTATGTCATCGAGTGTTCTGCCTATGCTTTCCTCTAAGAGTTTTATAGTTTCTGGTCTTACATTTAGGTCTTCAATCCATTTTGAGTTTGTATTTGCGTATGGTGTTAGGAAGTGTTCTAATTTCATTCTTTTACATGTAGTTGTTCAGTTTCCCCAGCACCATTTATTGAAGAGTCTGGGGGGTGTTTTTTTAAAATGACTTTTTTTTAACATTGTAATTTATTTCTTTTTAATTGAAGAATAATTGCTTTACAATATTGTGTGGGTTTGGGTGTTTTACTGCCACTCTTTTCAAAAAGAAAGGAAACATACTTACACATACATGTTCTACATTTTCCCAGGAAAACGTTGACTATAGTCTTCCATGTCCTACATTCATATCTACCTTGTTCCTTATAATGGTAGCATGGAATTTCATGTTAGAATTAATCCATAATTTATTTAACCCTTTCCTTCTTGATAGACACAGAATTTTTTCCCTAGTTTTTGATGTTACACATTTGATCACAGTGATTTATCCATGTGTATAAATCCTTTTCTACTTGTCTGCATAATTTTATAGGAAAGATATAAAAAATACAATATTTCAAGGAACTGAAGACAGTTCATTTTTGCTTTGTTTTGTTTTGACTATGCTTTACTTTTGACTATGCTGCGTCTTCATTGCTGTGTGGGCTTTTCTCTGGTTGCTGAGAGAAAGGGCTACTCTGCTCCTGTGCTCGGGCTTCCCATTGTGGTGGCTTCTCTTGTTGCAGAGCACTAGCTCCAGGGTACACAGATTCAGCGGTTGCAGTTCCTGGTTCTAGAGCACAGGCTCAATAGTTGAGGCACGCAGGCTTACCTGCTCCGTGGGATCTTCCTGGATCAGGGGTTGAACCTGTGTCTCCTGTGTCAGGCAGATTCTTTACCACTGAGCCAGCAGGGAAGCCCTGAATAGTGTTCCTTTAGGTAGCCACTGCCAAGTTGCCATCCAAAAGGTCCCTCTTATCCTCCCACCAACAGTGGATAAAAGTTCCCATTTCTCCATGTCTTTGCCAACACTTGCAATATTAATCTCTTTTAATTTCCATTTAACTGGTGGGCACAAACATTACCTAGTTGTTAATTTAAGTCTCTGCTCACTAACAGGATCAATCATAACTTTATTATTATTTTTGTGTCTGCACCACGCAGATTGTGGGATCTTAGTTCCCCGAACTGAATCAAACCCAGGTCCTTGGCCATGAAAGGCCAAGAGTCCTAATCTCTCTACTACCACTCATGTCATAACTTTAATTTTAATATTATGAAGTTTTAACTTAATTTTCAGAAAGGTAATACATTTACATTGTTGAAAATGTATAGTCCACAAGGCCTGCAGTGAAATGCCCTTCTCTCTGATTCTTCAACCCCACCTCCTCTCCCCAGAGGTACCAGTGTTCCCATTTCCTGTCATCCTTGCAGAGGTATTCTAGGCACATACCAGCAGATTCTCAGGTATTTCTGTTTTTCTTCTTTTATAAAAACCACAATGCAATTAGTGGATTTTTATCTTTGAAATCTGATGAAAGCTGAACCTTCTCCTCCAAAAATGCATTTATGTGCCTTCGCATAGCTTTTACACAAATTTCAAGGTGGTTGTGGATCCACTCCCAGTTTCACTCAGTTTCAGCATCCCTGCTCCCTAATCTCCTCTGGCTTTTGGTGGAGTCTAAATTTTGCAAGTTCAGTGATCCTAGGACACTGGGATGTTCTGTGGCTATAATTTTATGAGTCTCCCAATCGAAGATCCTGTCACTGCCAATTCACAGTTTCAATTGAGGTGTGAGCCTCTCTGGGCAATGGAGTTAACAGCA